CTAAAGTCACATCACTCCACATTTTGTTAAATTTTCTGCATTAGATGTGATTCTAAAACACTGACATGTAAATTCAATGCTTGCAAGTGGACTTGTACACAAGAGCAGTTATGTAAAACATAAAATTGGCAAAGCTGACGGCGAAAACTGATGATCTCAGATCAGTGTGAAACCAGAGGATTTTAGCCTCATCTTAGTGGGGGCTCACCAAGTCCTAAAAAAGGCAGCAAGCTTATTTCATGAGAATTACTGTTTATACCTATCTACAGCACAAAACATTGACCTCAAATATGGCACAGTTACACCCTGGTCAGATTATTTAACAACCAGTTGCATTTTGTTTGTAATTCCCAATTGTGGAACTGAAGACTTTATTAAAAATACAAGACAATCTGGGGAGAGACGGGAACTGTGATCCAGGGGGCTAGAGCACTAGCAATGTTCTATTTCTTGACAGAAGTAGAAATTCGTGTTGTATGTAGTTCGTTGTTAAACTGGACATATGCTTTAGTTACTTCTGTATATCTCATGTACATACGGGTGGGCTGGGGGGACATCTACCATTACTGAAGACTTTCAGATACTTTACAGCAGCCACCATCCAAACGGTAAGGATTCAGATATTCAGACTACATATGTAGCTAAGTTAAAATCAGTATACGGTAACTAATCATGGCAGCCAATATGCTTTGCTGTAAGGTTAAAGTTAAGGACTCAAAAATCAAGCCTAACACCTTGTCTGGCAGGAAAGAAAACTAAGGTCAAGATAAGTTATATGACTCCCCCAAGGTTTTCCCGCCCAGTCTGATAGGGTATGTATCTGCACGAACCACAACTGTAATTCTAACACAGTACATCGTGTCTAACAGTCAACAAGATCTGAGCAAAGCTGACCGAGAAAACGGCATATCCAACCATGCTGAATAAAAATTTGGACGTTCACACCTGCCTCCTAGAGACAACAGCCGCTGCCCTAACAAAATCCAAACACAGCAAGAAGAGGGAGGGTGGAAAGGGCATTTGGGCTGTGCTATTTCAGAGCTTTCTGGGGGGCAAACGTCAGAAAAATCTTTTAAGTAGCTGGATTCTGGACTCTTCTCAAACTAAAACTCGAAAATACCCATAGCTTTTCCTGTCTCCCGCCCTCATCTCCCCTCAGAGGCCGCCTGAGAATACCTCCGACACGCAGGAGTGCTGCCCTGCCAACCACCGCCGGTGGGCGCACGAAGGGGCTGCAAATCGCAGGTGATTTTTAGGCTACATTCTCACAGAAACCCACCCGGGCAACAGAGACCACCTTACACATCACATTCTAAAGTTCCAACTCCTCGGCGCGCCTACTTTCTCCATCAGCCCACGACATAAACACGCTTGTCGCCTCAACGGAAGCGAACGAACGTGCGAGACGATTGCTTAAGCAGAATTCCAATGCCGGCTCAGCCCTTTTGTTCCTCTCAGGTCAAAGAAGCCAGAAATTTCTTATGGGAGGGTTTCTGACCTCGCGATCCAAGCTGGCCTTATTTTACAACGGTTCGGCGTTGACTGGAAAAGTGCCCTTGGGAAGTCACTTAATCGCTTTTGGGTGAGGAAAGGTGAAGGGTCAGAAATAACGTTTAAAATCAAAAAGCCAGAGAGAGCAGCAGATTGGACGTCCTGACCGGGGGCATGCTGTCCACACCCCACTAGGGCTTAAGTTCAGCTTCGAGATGGAGCCTGCGGAGAGGGCAGCTCGGCGGCGCCAGACGCCCCCAACCGCCCGGGAAGCAAAGATGACCGGGCTCCCACTTACAGACCGAGGGAGAGGCCGATACCCCTCAGCTCACAAATCGGCCAAATTTTTTATTTGTTGGCTTTTTTTTCCCCTCGAGATTCTCTGAAAGGAAGAGTTGCCCTTCGCGCTTGGGCCGCCTCTCGGGAAGAGAAAGTGGATCACAGGGAAAGCCGGCCCGCGGCAGCTCCGCTATCCGCCCCCGACCCTGGTTTTGGGGTGCCAGGCTCGAGGCCCGGTCGGGTCCCCATCCCCCACGCAGGGCCCGGAGGCCCCAGGCCCCGCCCACGTGGCTGGCGGCCCAAAGCGCGGGGCCCGACGGCGGCCACACAATGGAGGCCTCG